TTGACAGCATTTTCTACTTCAATAAGAGTTTCACCTACGATGACAAAGTCATTGAACAGATCCTGTCCAACCGTCGCGCGCTAGGGAACCAACTGTTTGCCGACCGACTGTTGGGATTGCTCGGTGTTCAAGCTGGTAGGCAATTCGCTCCGTATTTGGAGCACGAGAGAGACATATGCTGACGACCATAATCTGCTAGTAAGACAACTTTACCCTCCAAGATCGAATGCGGACCTTCGTGCGCTCGTTAATCACATTGTCTCGTCCGCGCTGGACATCCATCACAAGCAAGCGTTGATCTACTACATCCTGAAAGATTGTCGTGCAGCGAGCGATGCCGCTTCCCAGTTTGCGCGCCGATGCCACCTGCCAGAGAAGTACAGATTGTTCATTGAAGGCCTCTGGAACCTGGATAGGTTAGAATTGAGGGTATGTCCACGCGTACGGTGCACCTATCTTACCATTCTGACGAAGGGACGCAATATAGCGAGCGATAGAATATCTGACTGAGCCCTCAATCATTCCGACCTTCCCTGACGAGATCCTTTATGTCCTGACCCTTCCGCAACTCCCAAAGCACGATGACAATCTTGCTATGGCCTATTATCTTACCGTGACCCCGCCGTTGGCGTCCGAGAAAGTACAGAAAGCCTTTTTCGACATACTTTGCCGTTCCAGCATAACAGAAGCGTTCTATTTCACAAGGAAGCGGGACGAGTCCCTTCGCCGCGCTTATCTTGAACAACTCATCGAATTTGTTCATAAAACCAGTCCTGGTCAGATGCGAAGCCAAAGAGCCATGGAATTGATCAGTCTTCCGTTGGACAACACGGAAGAAGAGTGGCTTGAAGAAGCGCTGCTTCGCGGACGCGCAAAGACACTGCACGGTGCGAAGGACACGGCAATGATGCGACGATTTGCAACCGGGAAATTGGACGCACTCTCTACAGAACTAGAGTCACTAGGCGGAAAGAAGATCGATGGACTGAACTGGGATGCCCTCAGACAGAGCGTAAAAAACACTCACACATCAGTTCCCAGCGCTGGCGGTCAACCTTGATGGGACAGAACGGCATGAAAAAAGAGCTCACCCAAAGGTGCTTTCTGTTACAGGAGTTCAGAGTGGATTCGGCCTTTTTCTTTTTACCTTTTACCAATAAAAGTAGATACAGTGATACCAAAGTAGAAGAAGGGGCCAGCGATTAGCAAAGTTACGGAATTTGGACGAAATGATACCTCAGTAGACTGGTGAAGCCATTGTCAATTACTTCTAAATTCATCGTCTACGGTCATTGTCAGGGAATACAGTAGGTTAAGGTCTAATTAGTAGTGACTTAAGGTGTGGGATTCATACTTGCCCTTTCTTCTTCCTGGGAAAGACTTCGGGTCGGTGAAATGTATTGTCACCGGAAGTAAATGCTATCTTCCTCTCCAACATAGATCATCTGCATCTCAACAGAGCTTCCATCTTCATCTCAATTAATCCCATTCTTGTCAAAAGTCCCGTTACATATACCATCAAGCGTGATGAATTCGACGGAGTGATCTGCAGGCCTAACATTCAATCTACATCCATCAAGGGCACAGTTTCCTACTGGCGTTGCTCTTCCGCGATCACTTGGCGCGATCCGAGAAAAGAGACATCATGGTCGTCTGTACTTTCTTTCAGCAAGGCAGATGTAGATTTGGAGGTATTTAGCTAATTCTTATCTCTACCTGGAGAAAGGCTTTCTGATCATTGTCACAGAGCGATGCAAGTTTGAACATCCTGGCCAGCAGACAGTAGGGTCAAGCAATCGGTTTGGAGCCCTCGCTGGCGGAGGAGGTTTCGGAGGTATGCATATTTTTAATTCCATTTACGCACTGGACAAGCAAGTTGTTATTATAGTGTTTCTGTGTCCGGCAGTGGCTCTACTGTCATTCTATGACCTGCATCCATCTGAGTGTTCCTGTTACCCTCTTCGTCTCTCGGTCGAAGTCTGCGCCTGCCCAAGTTCCTGCAATTTCCTTATTTGTCTGCCATTCCGTCTACTCGTCCTCCTGTTCTATGTGACATCTGTCTCGCGATGTTCTCGCGTCATGCTAATGGTAAGCAAAGGTCGTTCTGCGCCTCAAGCTCAGCAACCGGTCAAGTAAGTATAAACGCTACGATCAGCCACGCGAACCTGTCTAACAGCACCCCAGCTATGGTATTACTGCAGAGGATATCAAAGTCGACTTGACTGCTGGTAAAGGACTGCCAGAATGGATATTCTCTGCCTATGGACCAGGCCGAAACGCCCCGAGGCAGCTGTTCGGTGGCCCTCAGCGAGAGCAGAGCTTTGAAGAACTACGATTGCGGCATTACGAAGCTGCGGCAGCAGGAAAAGTCGAGGTCGCTGTCCAAGAAGCTCAAGCTTTGTATGCAGAGTCGGTAAAGCAGATGGAGGCTGCTTTGAATGATGTTAACGGCGCTGTCAAGTACATTCTCGACGGAATCAACGAACATCCGAATCGGATCGACATTACGGAGGGGAAGGCAGTCCCTGCTGCTGGTCAGGGTCCTTCCCCGTTTGGTCAACCATCACCACTCGGTCAACCGGCTGCCGTGGCACAAACATCTGCCTTTGGCCAACCTTCGGCATTAGGCGACGGGGGTGCCTCAGCCTTTGGCAAGCCGGCTGGATTCGGGCAACCATCGGCCTTTGGTCAACCCTCTACTCTAGGGCAAACGCCTGGCTTTGGACAACCCAGTGCTTTGGGTCAAGGTTCCGCGTTTGGAAAGCCTTCAGCGCTAAGTGGGCAACCGGCATTCGGCAAACCTGCATTCGGTCAGCCAAGCATTGGCCAGCCGTCAGCGCCAGGGACAGGGACAGGCGCATTCGGTCAGCCAAGTACCACATCTCCGTTTGGTCAGATATCGAGTCAAAACCAGGGCCAGGGCGGCGGGTTCGCTCAGGCTGCTGGAGTAGCGACTACCTCCCCATTTGCACAAGCTGCAGGTGGCCAACAGCCGGCGGCAACTCCTGGATTTGGTCAACCTTCGACAACGACACAAACGTCAGCAACGCCTTTTGGCCAGCCCGTACAGGCGCCTTCGCCATTCGGACAGCCTCAAGCATCGTCAGCTCCTTTTAGCCAACCCATTGCCGCCCCAAGCCCCTTCGGAGCTGCGGCTCAACAGGCAGCTCCGACACCTTTTGGTCAACCTGCTGGAGGTTTCGGTCAAGCAGCTCAAACGGCTCCTACCACCGCAGCCCCTGCTCCTATAGCGATCGCAGGCACCGGCCCTCCCCCAGCGATTAAGATTAATGATCCGAATGAGTTGAACCCGATTCCACCTCTAAGTGGGCAGACGGTCAAGGACCCCATGACGCAGAGACTATCAATGTGGAAGGGTCAACCAGTGAAGTACATTGACAACGTCCCTTGCTATCTTCATCCTCAAGACCGTCAAACCTACGTTCGCATCTTTTTTCCGGATGGACCGCCTGATCAAGCGAGCCTGAGAGATGCGCACGGCAAACCGGAAGAATACACACCGGAAGTCACTGAGCAATATGAGTTTTTCTTGAAGAATGGCTACTTCAAAGACGGCGTTATACCCAGCGTGCCTCCCAAATCGGAGTGGGTGAGCTTCGATTTTTGATCGCATTTATTAGTGGACCTTTTTATTATGGAGCGAAGCACACATGCGCCGTTCATGTATTATATGATTATCTTAACGATCGCACTACACGTGCTTTCGCTATGGACTTTATGCTGTGAGTTGAGCGGCGCTTCTGGTTCATTGGGCCCGGGCGCGAAGACTAGATTTTTACTGCGTTTGGTTGGACTACGAGGACAGTATAATCAATTAAACGGATGAAACCTCTTCGTTTTGCAATTTTTCCCATTTTTGATTCCAGGTATTAACGGGTATCAACGTTGCCTCGGTCGAAGCCTTCCGGCGTGAAGATAACAATCCACTCAACGGCGCACCGAGCACAGCGCTAGTGCCATCCCAGTTAAGAGTTGACACCAAACCCTCCCTGATCCCAACTAGATTGAAAACATCTAGGCGGCAATGGTAACCTCAACCTCAACACCAGCCTCGATGTTGATGATGATCTGCTTGACGGTCTCAGTGGGGGCAAGGAGGCTATCGCCCTCGTTAGCGGTCTGATGATCGATCATAAGGATGAGCGGGGGAGCTTACTCGATGAGACGCTTGTGGATGCGCATCTCGTACTTGTCCCAGGTCTTGGAACCCTCACCGCAAGGGGTCTTACGGGTGGAGATGTTGAGGGTTTTGGTAGGGAGACGGACAGGGCCCTTGACCTGGAGGGACTTGGAGCGAGCACGGTCGATCAGCTCAGAGCACACCTTCTCGAGGGAGGCGACCTTGCGAGAGGTGAGGGTGATACGGATCTTGTGGACCTTCTATAATCGCGGGAAAAGAATTGGTTAGCTATGCGCAACTGCGGCTCGTTTTCTCTAACGCGTAAACTTGGATATCAAGAAAATTGGAACGTACGGGGCCCTCGCCGAACTCCTTCTCAGGCTTCTGGAAAGACATCTTGCTGATTGTGCGGTGGGTTGACCGGGATTGACGAGATGGCTATCGAACACAATTCAATTAGTCCTTGTTCAAGAAAAGCCAGACAGAAGCGGTAGAAAAGTCATACCTATATGAGGCTAGTTGCCAATCAAGACCTGAACTTCGAGGTTCGGTAAGGTGATGATGGCCGTTGAAGAGCTATGGTGAAATGCGACAGTCGTATGAATCCATTTTTTTGATCGTGTCTTTAGCGTCTCTTGTGCGGGCGGAGTGTCTTGGCACTCGGCTATCTTGAGCTAGTCCCAGTTTGGAAAGCGACTCATCATCATCGGAAACCGTATTAGGGAAAGGAGATTATGACGACAGGTTATGCGACGGCCGTTGATGGTTGCGATGATTAGATTTGGTGTCTTCTTGTTAATCTGACCTGTTTCTTCTCTTGTTGCTTTATCTTGCACGCGCATATTTGAGCGGCACTATCATGGAAAAATTGCCACCTCTCGCACCAGTCCCGCCGCCCGCAGTACAGAGGAGCATATCACATGAAGAATGGGAGTCATTTCTGGATGCATGGATTCTACTCCTAGGGATACGCATCGAAGCTTCTGATTCAGTATTTAAAGATGTTGTCTCCAAAGATGAGTCCACAAGCGGCTTTTTATCGTCCTTCTATCAACAGCTCGCCACGACAAATGTGCCTGAGCTGCGGACGGGGGCGAAGGCACGAACATTACGGAAGTGTTGTTTCTTGTTGACGAGGAGACTTCTATTGGACGCGCCTACTTCACCGTCTGAAATGCTAGATTGGAGCGTTCTCGGTGCTATGTGCTGTTGCTACCCGTCAAGCTCAGCTTTGAAGCGGTTGTTGTCCGAAGCATGGGATAGACACCATGAGGCAATAACATCCAGTCTCGAGAAAGCAAAGTCCTTAATTATCAAGCGGCTCTCACTACCGAATCCATCGGTGAATGTGGAAGTAATGTCTGATATCCGCTTCTTGACGATATTGTCTTCTGCACTTCCGCCTTGCGGCCAGGTGCTCATGGCTGGTTCTGACTTCATAGATACTCTCTCTGATGCGTATCAGTCCGAGAAAAGAGTGGATTTCCGCAAGGTCCTTGTAGCGAATGTCTACGTTGGCTTGACCTCTTTGTTGAAAGGCGCCAAGCCGAACTTATCGTTGCTTCTGGATCAATTGTTCAGCTTAAAAGCGAGCGCAGGGGTGGGCACTCCAACGGCAAAGAGAGAGCCCACAATACTTTCAGATCTAATCTGCAGCTCAGATATATTAGCCCGTCTGGAGAGGTACTTGATTGTGCATCCGCAAAAACGCGGTGAAGACCTACTATCCAGCCTGCACTCGTATCGGAATGAGTCTAAAGCATTCCACCACCGGTATCAAAAGCAAAGGAAGAAGACGGACAAGGGCAAAGGTCGTGTTTCAGATCTTCCTACTGTCGAGAACATGCATGTCCACAGGATCTCCCTCGTGACACAGGTGCAAGATCTCTTCCCTGATCTGGGCTCAGGGTACATCATTAGATTGCTCGATCACTACGGCGACAATCCGGAGACGGTTGTCGCACATCTTCTTGATGGCTCTCTACCGCCTGAACTTCAAGAACTCGATCAATCCGAGCAACTTCCTGTCTCACAAACCACCCCCCGCCACGACCCTCTACCCCCGCGCCCAACTCCCCCAGAGATCCCATCGCCCCCCGCACCAGCCCCAGCTCGCAAGAACATTTTCGACACCGACGTCGATCTCGCCGAACTAGCCCGCTCAGCCGATCAGGCCAGCCAAGGCAAACTGCGCTTCGGTCGCGCAGATTCAGATCTCACCGCGGACGCCATCCTAGCCGACCGCAGGCAGCATGCCGTCAACAAGGCAGCCATCATGTCCGCACTGGCAACCTTCGACTCTGACGACGACGAACGCGACGACACATACGACGTCGCCGACGTAGGCGGCACAGTCGACGGCCTAACGGCAGTCACAGACGCCGAAGCAGACGCCGACATCCGCAACCGCAGAGCCGAGGACCTCGACATGACCCTCTTCCAAGCCTACAAGGCCAACCCGGCTCTTTTCGCCCGTGATTCTGCCACGCGCCGCTCACAACCCCGCGCATCGCTCAAGCGCGAGACCGGCATGACCGACGAGGCCATCGAGGGCTGGGGCGTGATGTTGGCCCGAGATCCCAAGCGTTTGGCCAGGTTGGAAGATCGACTCGCGATGTCTGCTGGTGCTCCTGGCGGCGCCTTGGCGCAGCCTGAACTGCCACCGACTGCGTACAGGAAGCCTGGACCTAGGGAAGATGGTGAATCGGATAGCGACACCGATCAGCCCGGTTCTGCTTCTGGCGGCAGAGGAGGACCCGGACAGGGACGTGGTCGCGGTGGTCGAAGAGGTGGCGGTGGTGGGAGGGCTCGCAGAGGAGGGACCAATGCCGGAGCTTCTGGAGAGCAGAACCCCGCTGTGGCTCGACAAAAGAAAGAAGAAAATAAGGCTAGCAGGGCGAATCACAATAGACGCCAACAGAGGGCCAGAAAAATTGCCCGGGGCGGTGGCATGCCAGGTTGAGCTGTTACGAAAATACGAAAGAGACACTCTACGTTTTGTACAAAGTTTACGATGTGTCTCCCTTAATAGACTGTAGATACGAATGCATATCATGTCTAAGCGACGGAATATCAATTCAGTCATCCAGGCTAATTATGAAGAAGAATAGGACAGATTTGCATGCGCTCTCTTCAACAGTGCTAGCAATCGAGTGCCAGCTCTAATACCATTATCTAGCAGCGTCAAAACACACGAAAAAGCATGAAGGTCATTGAAAGTTGCTCAACAGAGCCCTCACAAGCATAGCGTATCACACAGGGCCAAACCCAGGCTTGAAACAGCCACCGATAGAAATGTACACTGACAGTATGAAGATCTAGGAAAACGGACATCTGGCTTGGGATTCGTAAGCTCAACCATAAGCAAGGCAACAGCTGCCTTTCAGTGATGATGATCTGAGAAAACGCCCTGTTCGGCGCAGGACTTTTTGCATTCTTCAAGGATGCGGACTTGCTTCGCTACATCGCCAAGTCTGCTAATCACTTCCTTGTTGCCGTCATAAAAGGTGAAAACGGCATAGGGTATGCCAGTATCGCGACAGAAGTCGATCACGAGCCGCTGGGTACGACGCAGGTTGTGACGAGGAATGCGAGGGTAGAGGTGGTGAATAGCCTGGAACTGCAGTCCACCATGGAAGAAGTCGAGCCATGTAGGGCAGTCGACATCCATGGTGGTGCGCAGCATCTTTTGAGGAAACGATTCATGCACACCCAAGTCGGCAGTCGACATGGCAAAATGGGACAGCGTGATCTGCACATGCAGAGGAGCAGTGACCATGTGGGAAACGAGGATGTAGGCTATCCGGCTGCTCCAGTCTGGAATAGAGCGGTATATCACGCCGTAGCCGAACCAATACCAGAAAAATACCTGTCCTCCGATCTCGAACCAGCGATGCCACCAGGCAGGACCCTTCTTCGGGGCTTGGCCGCAAAAGAGGTATTCCCAGCTTAGTCGGTAGAGATTGAATCGACCAAGCAAGAGGATTGGGTAGTAGAGGTAGTTCTGATAACGCAGCATGAAATTCGCCATGGCGTCAAAATGCATGACACGGTCATAGTACGTGCTTCGGAGACTCGTCAAGAAGCGATGGGATATGGCAAATAACGGCATGTGCTCAATGTCGGGGTCATGCTCCGGAGCGTTAGTGACGATGTGATGGACATTGTGATTCCGTTTCCACCATCCCAGGCTCAGGCCGCCTAAATAATCCGCAATGATGATACCAATGACTGAGTCCACATGAAAATGATGAGTGATGCCCATATGGCCAGCATCGTGGGCTGTAAAAACGAGTTGGTGCCAGAAGCACCCTAGAAAGAAGGCCGATCCCACATACCACCCTAAGTGAAGAAAGGTATATGACAGGGTAGCGAATAGAGTATAGCGACAGCATTCTATAAAGTACGAGAAATAGTTGCAATTGTAAAGCCCTTCCGCGCGGATCCGCTCATTCAGTTCGCGGTATTTCCGCTTGATTTCTTCCTGACTCGCCGTGTCGAGGGACGGGTACTTGGCGACATCAAAGACGATCTCCTCCTGAGTTCGGGCATCAAGGAAGAAGGGTTTCGGCTTGAACCCTTCAGTGGGAGTGGTTGAGACTGATGTATCCGAAGTCGTTGTCGATTTCCTTCGGCGACGGACTCCTGGTGCCTTGTCTCCTGCGTCTGCTGCATCAAACACTGGAGAAGGGGGAAGTGAGATATCCTGATCTGTGCTGTCCTCGTCGCTTGAACAAGTCTCGCCTGGGTATGGACGGAACGTCCCGCCCTGGATCGGAGGGAGAAAGTTCAACCACGGTCCCTGGATGCGACCGATCTGGAAAGACAACATTCGCTGGCGTGCCTCTGGTGAATGTAATCTATACAAAATCGAACGTCAGTCGTCAGGTTACAATCGCCTTGGATCCATCAGGAGACCGTACGCATTGATTTCGTCCGTCGCATCCCGTCCGACCATGTGTTTAATAGACTTGTCTCCTCCGGGGTGAAATTTGATCCACGCATCGACCTTGAGCACTCGATCGTCGAAAATGATGATATGCTTGCCATCGGCGATTTGACCCTCAATGTATCGCCGTGACAAGATTGCGTCCTTTCGCACTCTGAAGCCCGGCGTAGAGGCCGCTTCCTGCGTCTGGGCCATTCCGAGGTTGTCTTAGGCTGGATCGATAGACTCGAGCTCAGGAACGGGTATGAATCTGGATAGACTCCAACATCGTCTTGCCTGGGAATTGTAAAGGTAAAAGAAAACCAACAAGGATGATCCTGAAAGAAGGTCCAAGTCTGGAGACCTCAGAGACGGGCCTGCGTCGCTATGGGGCGGAAGTGGTGACTGTGGATTGCTCAAACCGACACAAAGCGGGGACAAGCCGACAGAAGCACATGAAACGTGCTCCATCGCACTGGCGATCATCATCCCATCCCATCCATTCCATTCCATTTCAAAGCCACAATCAGCCATCGGCGCATCGCACTATCTAGTCAATTCATCTGATCCATCCGTCTACCCGTCCATTCATCATCATATGATCCACCATGTCCGTTCCTGCATCGACAATTGAGGTAATGCAGTGGAATCTTCGCAGGTAGCTGAAATATATATCTGATTGCAGTGGTACTTTGGTCTGTAGGAACCTCTTTCTTTACTGGCTCAGAAATGGCTTGACTGGGACCGAGTAAGACGATCCCGAGCTCACAAGTAACTCCAATAATACGATGAAAGCTTGCTGATCTCAAAGGCAGAATCCCGAGACGCGGGCTGAAATTGAGCAGCTGCAGAAGACCGGAGCGACTGCAGAGCTTGAGCTGCGTCTTCGGCATCGTACGTATATGCTACAATACAGGCTCCTTCGTTTCTTGCACCCTTTGCCTTTCTAACCACACAAGTGCAGGCATTCAATTCGGGACTGCCGGTCTTCGTGGTCGGATGGCGGCAGGGTTCTCCTGCATGAACTCCCTGACCGTCATTCAAGCATCGCAAGGGTTGGCCAAATACATTAGAGACAAACACTCTGACATTGCATCGAACGGCGTGGTCATTGGCCATGACGCTCGGCATAACTCTGCCAAATTTGCTGCCCTGGCAGCGAATGCCTTCATTGCGATGAAAATTCCAGTCTGGTATTATTCAGAGTCCTCTTTGACACCATCAGTCCCATTTGGTGTGACGCATTTGCGAGCTGCAGCTGGCGTCATGATCACCGCAAGCCATGTAGGTTTCCTCACAATTCGCGCAGTAACAAGAGCAAAAGAGGTCTGACACAGATGATTTGGTCGACAGAACCCAGCACAAGATAACGGCATGCATTGCACTCCCCAGATCTCGGTTCTGATTGCTAATTGTGTACAGGTTACAAAGTGTTCGGCTCACGCTTCCCTTGATTTCAAATGGACGACGTTGACTAGTGGGCTAGGTATTTCAAGAACGGCGCTCAGATCAATACGCCCATGGATATTGAGATAGCGCAATCGATTGACAGCAACCTAGAACCGTGGCCGAATGCCTGGAACAGCCTAGAAACCACGGAGTATCTCCATGCCGAAGCTCTTCAGACGATTCTGCCTCGATATACCGAGGCGGTTTGGAACTATGCCGTGAGAATCATGCCACCCTCATTCGGGTTAATTGACTAATAGCGCGCCTAGAAATCCACCGTCCCTAGCTGGTCAAGCCCGCGACCATTCATGTATACTCCCTTGCATGGCGTTGGGGGTCTGATCTTTCCTGAATTATGCCGCTCGGTTGGAATAACCGACTTCGCCACTGTAACAGAGCAAGTGGAACCGAACCCTGATTTCCCGACGGTGTCATTCCCGAACCCGGAGGAGAATGGTTCTCTGGACTTGGCCATGCAAACAGCTGATAAAGAGGGCAAAACCCTCATTATTGCTAATGACCCTGATGCAGATCGGTTCGCTGCTGCTGAGAAAGTTGAGTAAGTGGGCATGCGAAGGGCGTCTTTATATTCCTGGAAATAATCACTAATCATCGAGTAGCGGTTCTTGGTTCACCTTCACGGGGAACCACCTTGGCGTTCTACTAGCATCACATCTGTTTGATTCGCTTGAATGTCGAAATGACAAATCCCGTATAGCTGTGTTGAACTCCGCAGTCTCTACAGGCATGCTCGAAAAGATGGCAAGGTCTAAGGGCTTCCACTTTGAGGAAACATTGACTGGATTTAAGTGGATGGGAAATATTGCCCGGAGACTGGAAGAGTCAGGATACCATGTACCTTTTGCTTTCGAGGAAGCCTTGGGGTATATGTTCCCAGACGTATGCCACGACAAGGACGGCGTGACCGCTGCTATGGTTTTTCTAGCAGCGGAAGCTCGATGGAGGTCTCAGGGTCTCACCCCTTATTCGAAACTACAGCAGCTGTTTAAGGATTTTGGGTACTTTGAAACACTCAATAACTACTTCCGATCGCCTAGTCCGGAAGTCACAAAAAGTCTTTTTGAAGCCATCAGGAGCGGGCCTTACCGGACACAGAAATCACTTGGTACATTCAAAATCTTGAGGTGGAGAGACATGACAGAGGGCTATGATTCAGGCACGGAAGATCACAAGCCAGCACTGCCAATTGATAAAAGTAGTCAGATGTTGACCCTATGGCTGGACCGAGATGTTCGGTTCACCATCCGTGGCTCTGGCACAGAACCAAAAGTCAAGGGTAATTTCCACAACAGGAACATATGTGCAAAGCATTGCTAATTGACTTTCTAGTCTACATCGAAAGCTGCGGTGCTTCTCATGCGCAGGCAGTGGATGCTGTCTGTGACACCTTTCGAACAGTTTTGAAAGAGTGGATCCAACCCTCTGCTCCTTCAATGAGCTACAGCAAAAATCTCCCGACGTCGTCTGGTCATATTCTCAACATTGATTGAAAGAGTGATCTGGACGATTTGCGACGGCTAAACCTAGTAACCTAACCTACTGCATTTTGGCTCATTTGTATGGTCATAGAGCACGCCGTCTGGCTGTATTACTATCCTTCTTTGTGACACCTTGACGACCCTTAGAAAATCAAGTGGGTAGCACAACATTTCCAATCGACATCGGATTCGCTACACCAAGTACCTGCTTTTGAATAGAGCCAGGAAGAGCCTCACGTAGTGCGACCTCGCTTTCGAAAAGGCTTCTTCTGCCGTGTTCGAGATGGGGGCTAGGCTGGCGAACTACATATGATGTTGCACAGCAGCCCATACCTTGTACGACGAGTCCCGTCGGGCACAGTTGCTATCATGATCGCGTGAAGGGTTGCGTTCCCCTATGAAGTTGACTTCTATCTGCCCAAATAGTGCACTAGCACTTAAATTGTTGTAGCTCCCGCACTGAGTGCCAACACCGAGTGTTTCCAAACCCACAGTCTCCCACCCAGTTGGCTTGTTCTCCATCCATAATCGCTCATTGATTCTCTGTAATGGTTATCCGTTCATCCAGCTGGTCTAAACATGTGCATCGACACACCGTCGAGCACGGCACTCACCCAGCTGGCAACAATTGCAATCCATATCCGTATAACACAAGTATTGACGGGCAAGATTGCCTCGCAAACCGTCGAGGATTCGATACAGAGGTCAACACCGACGAGAGCGATACGGACTCTTCTACATTTGACTCACATATTCACCGAGGCGTTGGAGCTTGTTGCCATTCCACTTCAAGGGCTCGACAGGGCTGCCAGCACATGTGCGTACATACCTTCCGGCATCACCCTTGACCTTGATAGTGCCCTTGCCGGTCAATGTACGGTTACTAATACGAACACTGGGCTACAGTCTGAACAATGCCCATCCTCTAACCGACGGAATGCACGAGCTGAACAGCCAAGCTCATCACCATCACCATCACAACTACCACCAACAAACCTCCAGCACAAGCCATTGCAACCGCACAGCTCAATCCCACTGCGTTGAGGGCTATCCACCCCATCTTACGTGTCACAGTCACGCCCACGCCCAGCAGCACAGGCACCATCATCACCACCATCATCAGCAATTGACTCACTCTACGCATTATGACGGAGCAAGGGAGACTAGTCAATCCTGCACCTGCAGCCATACGTATGGAACTGAAACTCGTGCTCACAGTGGCGGGTTTCGGGGTTGTCGTGCTTTGACACGGGGGTGTCTGTGCCGGCGGCCGTATGGGCCTCCGTTGCCGGGTGGGTTGATGTGCGTGGGTAGGGGAAGGGTGGGATGTGTTTATAGGAGGTAGACTAGTTCTTATCTCGAGTCTGGTTTTTTTTTGGTTTTGGTCTTTTGAAATATCTATTTGATTTTATGCGTTATTTGATATTCATTCGTTCAACGGGGTATAAAAGCTATGGGTTTGTGAGATGAATCATGACCCGTTATCTTGGACTCATAAGCCAGCGTTTCGTATTCTTCAAACCGATGGAACGATCATGCAATATCCGGCCCAAGGTCTTCATTCCAGAGGGTGACTACTCAGACGACACATTTTCCTCATGCTGTGTAGCTTGAGCAGCAGGCTTACCGGCACCAGCCTCGGCATCCAGGAGACTGTTCTTCCGACCGGCCGTCTCAATATACCCAGGGTTCTCAGCCTTGAGGCGCGCAAAGGTCCGCTCCGCATCCCACACCCAGGGCGTCTCAGCCGCGAAAAGCAGATCCATGTCCTCCAGAGTCCGCTGGTTACTTTCCGGGTAGAGAGCCCAGACCATGGGGATCGTGATGACGTTGCTGATGGCGAAGATGTACAGGGTCTTTTCGCCGATGGAGCTGAACATCACCGGGCAAAGGAGGGTCTATGAAAGTCTCAGTCTGATGTTCGCTAGGAGAGGGGTTGTGGGCACTGACCAGCCAGCCGTTTCCGATACTCCATCCTACCACACCCCAGGCGTTTCCTCGGGCGCGGACGGCCAAGGGGAAGATTTCTGCGGGGTAGATCCAGGGGACTGGTGAGATGTTAGCAGAAGTTGTGGGAGAGTGGAGACTGGAGGTTGAAGTACCAGTGAGCCATGTGGCGCCGAAGACCGAGGTGAAGATGAAGATCATCGATGCGGCGGCCGCACCGTACGAGCTTGCTTTGCTCACATCTCCGGACTCCCTAGCATTGATCGCGAGCCTGGAGAAGCCTCCAGCAAGAAACATGGCGATTCCTTGGGCGACGGATCCCCAGTAGAGGGTCCACCTACGGCCAATACGGTCGAGAGTGAAGACACAGATAAGTGTCGCAAACTGTAGAACTGTAGTTAGGCAAAAGTTTGACAGTTCTGGGACGATGGGGACGGACCATGTAGAAAATGTTGTTCAGACCGCTGATCCACTGGCTTTTCACCGAATCGAATCCGGCAATGCTGAAAATAGTCGGTGCATCTGGACACATCAGTCAGGCTGAATCATGTACAAGTGTTTGACGCTGGCAACGACATACAAACTGTGACACCGGCGATGCCGACCCATTCCTGCATGATCTGCAGCCAGATTACCAGTTGCACACGGCGTCCCAGGTGCAACTTCCCGCTCTTGTAGCCGAAAAGCATGGAAAGGTAGGAATTGCTATGGTTTATGGTCTTCTCGAGCTCCGCCACGCTTTGGATGTCACGGAACTCGGCTTCGGCTCGAACTGCGTCATCGCCACTGCTGCCACGGAGACGACCGAGGATATAGCGCGCTTCCTGCTCCCGTCCAACCTTGACTAGCCATCTTGGGGACTCTGGGAAGAACCACACAGCCGCGAACAACACGAGCAGGAAGATGATTTGGAAGGCGATTGGGAATCTCCAACGGAAGGGAGATTTTCCGCCATCGATGAAAGATAGACCACTACTACTTATTAGAAACGACTCCTTCAGGCCACTGGGCGAGCAGTAGGATACGCACAATTCCAACCAATACGCTAGAACAACACCGAAAATGTTGAGTGTAAACTCAATGGCGATGAACTGACCGCGAGAAGTGTGTTCAGCAGTCTCCGTAGCCCAGACCGGCACGATTGCGTTCAGAATGCCGGTGCCAATCCCGTTGATGAATCGGGCTGAGATTGATCAGCCACTGCAAAGTTATCTATTGATCTTGAGTATGACGCCTTACCGCAAATCATCCAGTTGTGATTCTGTGCTGAACATTGCAACGCGGCGCCAAGTATGGCCCACACAGCGCCCGAAGCAATAGTCTTGATTCTACCAATAGAGTCTCCAATCCATCCACCAAGGAGGCATCCGCAGAGCGTTCCGAGATAGTAGACGGAGACAATTCCTCCCTGTAACAAGCTGTTTGTGACAACTGGAGTAGGCTGACCATCTTTCATCTCGGTGTAACCAAAGCCCATCAAATCAATGTAGTCCTTGGCGTTGTTTACTCCGCCCATCATTCCTTGGTCATAGCCTGAATATCTGATCAGTAAAGGCATTAATGATGCTACGCGGCAGACAAACCAAAGAAGAGGATTGACAATGCAGCAACACAATTGATCGCAATCAGGAGCTTCTTTTTCTCCAGCTTGTGTACTATATTCCATGATGGTATTTGGTCACTCATTTTGACGGTAGGGTAATTTAGGGACTCAAGAGAATCGCAAGTGAAGTGAAGGACGCCCCAAGAGCATTAGTCACAATAGGTGTTTTTGATCACAACTCAAGTGCTTAAGATAGCCTGAGGGCCGATGAGCACTCCAGCATGAACCCACCGTGGAGAGTGAACGAAGCGAGATCACAGTTATCCGAGAGATCCTCTTTTCTGTGGGGTGGTACAGTGCATTTAAATGTCCAGGTCTGCAAGAGACAGCGGAGGACGATCATCCTGATGAGGATCGGCTGAGGTCCGACCAAAGAATTGGAGTATAGCTCTCTATAGGATAACTAATTTGGTTACATCCCGCGTGGGAGAAGTCTGGATCCTGGGGTCGGGGAGGAAAAGATGGTCGAAGGCATCGTATTCCCCACTCCGAGAAGGAAAAACGCACTATGACTCGTCGGAATGGGAACCTGGTTGATGTGATTTGGAGACAGACCAGCAAAAGATGGTTGAACAAAATCGGTAATCCGGGCATGTGGCAGCGGCGCCTCTGCGCCAAACGATGATCGCATCTGGTCACTGGATCGGGAGGCGTAAGGCGTTCGGGAAGTCTGCTGTAGATGTCAGGAACTTGGAGCCAAGTCCAATATGCGTCATTAATAATATGGATAGCACCAGAATTCGACAGAAGGCTGACAGCCTCGATGGAATCTGCACATTTCATTGGAAACATAGAGCGGCTGCTGTCAGTGTGATACCCTGATGAAGATCCCTTTTGAAGCACACTCGGTTAATGGGAACCGTTCGGCAGTTGAGGCCTGTAGATAGATAGTCTATGGGCTCACCCGAGGGTTTCTTTGGCCATCATTTCCTTGGAAAGATTGATGATGACTTATTTCATCTGGGGCCAAAGACACGTTCTATCCAATGGATGGAGTCGGCGTTGCGGGGATCACAAAGGGGACAATTCTGGGGTCGTTGGGTGGAGAGTCGGAAGTCGCCCGACTGTGAGCCTGGGAAATGCCTGTTTGGGATGCTTGAGAGGACCCTTGAGAGGGCCTAATGCTATTGACTGAAACAACGACGATGCCAAGGACGTACGGAGTAGAGGAGAAATAGAAGCAATCCTTTGATGAGATTTCCACTTTCAAGTCCGCCAAATCCCTAAAAACAATGAAGATAGGAGACTTGGATACCATTGGAGCCTGAGACAACAATGATTTTCATGTGCGTGCAGAGACAAGACAGACATGAATGAAGCGCAGCAGACTACTTCAGTATCCAGTTAGGAAAAAGGTTATACGAGGATCGATTCGCCTGCGGACTACAGATCTCCATGAATTCATGGACAGATTGATCCTACCAAACTTGGAGCAGTTAAACATGACCGTGCCCCAGTGGTGACTGATGTCTTTCGGATGCTAATCACCTTCTTCTTGTGTCCAGTGGTTACGCAGTCAGTCCGAACTCTGAAGCTCTGATCCCATAATGCTCCTAACAATTCAAAGTGACGTCTCGCCATCTGTGGTCGCACGCCAACCTGGAGTGAGGACTTCTGGTTACTGGCCCCAAATGGATATACTCTCCATCTGCGATAATTGGCGCTTAGAGACCGGACTTGCCTCTTGAGAGGCCCGAAATCATAACGGCGGGCAAATATTAAACCTGGATAACTACACTCTTCGACAAGCTCAGCAAAGCACTGTATTTCATGCACGCTGCCTCTGAACGCCGACGGTAGCCATTACTTTTCATTACCCGCGGAAACCAGTGTAATATCGAGGGTGACACGTCTCTTCTGAGGACCTGACGGCAGACAACCATTTGCAAGCAAATATTGAGCTTGTTTCCCTTGAAGTAGTTCATCATCGGCGACGGCCGATGCTTTCGACCTCCTGAGTCTGGGGTATCGTGGTGGTGGTGGTGGTGGTGATGGTGATGATTTTCCGCAGGCTTAAAGAGATCTTATCCACCTTTACCGCTAACGAGTATGGAATAGTCCGTTCCGGTATACTCCATTACCCATTTGATGTCGACCTCAACACCACCATTGTTCCCCATCTACTTTATAGATGTGATCATTGATAGTATTTCGTAGCTCATAGATGCCCGCGTTATTATACAGCACACTATATTGCTTATCCACAGATGCCCATGGAGTCTTATTATCAAGCATCACTTGCCGGCAATATGGAATCAGATAGCCGATTTGACCCGATGCTCACTGGTCCGGATGATTACATACGCAATGAATACCGTATCAATACCGGCCCGCCAGCTTTTGCTGCCAGAACCTCAAGAAAGCTTTCCTCGTCCCAACATCCTTTTCCCTATACTATTAGTCTGCCATCCCCAATTGTTGTCCTCCCATTCCTCCCCAGTTTGTTGACCTGGAGGATTGGCTATCTCTTTTAATCTCCCTTATCCCTGGTATTTTTTTCTCCTAGCACACTATGTTCCGGAGTATGCTGCCGCGTGCGACACCGCGGGCTGCCCTCCGCACTGCCGGCCCTCAGCCTGTCCCTTCTAGCTTCGTTGCTGCTCCTTCTCTGTCCGTATATGGACGCTTCAGACGCGGCTATGCTTCTGAATCTGGTAAGTGATTGATTGTTCCCTAGGGCATCCGTGAGACGGTGCCTACCCTTCCGGAGAAAGGGCAGCGGCTAATTATGGGAACTCCAATATACTAGAGCACGATGTGGTTATCATTGGTGGTGGTGTCGCTGGTTACGTCGCCGCTATCAAGGCCGGTCAAGAAGGTCTCAAGGTGAGTCTTGACACTTTTGTGGATATGAATTCGCTTTGCGCATTCTGACCCCTTTGCTAACATTTGATTGATCTTGGTTAGACCGCTTGTATCGAGAAGCGTGGACGTCTCGGTGGTACTTGCCTGAACGTCGGCTGCATTCCCTCGAAATCCCTGCTTAATAACTCCCACCTCTACCACCAGGTCCTTCATGACACAAAAAAGCGTGGTATTGAGGTCGGTGATGTCAAGTTGAACCTCGAGCAGATGATGAAGGCCAAGGACACCTCCGTGGATGGTCTCACAAAAGGTATCGAGTTCCTGTTCAAGAAGAACGGCGTCGACTACATTAAGGGTACCGGTGCTTTTGTCGACCAGAACACCGTTAAGGTGAACCTGCTCGAAGGTGGTGAACAGACTCTGCGCGGAAAGAACATTGTCATTGCCACCGGAAGTGAGGCCACTCCTTTCCCTGGCCTGAACATTGATGAGAAGAGAATCATCACTAGCACCGGCGCTCTCTCCCTGAAGGAGGTCCCCAAGAAGATGGTCGTCATTGGCGGTGGTATCATTGGTTTGGAGATGGTACGTGAACCCGATGACGAAAATTCGGACAACTCGGAATTTCCTCGTACTGATTTTGTTTGAAACACAGGCTTCCGTTTGGTCCCGTCTCGGTGCCGAAGTTACCGTTGTTGAGTTCCTTGGCCAGATTGGTGGACCTGGTATGGACGCCGACATCGCCAAACAGGCCCAGAAGATTTTGCAGAAGCAGGGTATCAAGTTCAAGACCAACACCAAGGTCACCAAGGGTGATGACAGCGGCGAGACCGTCAAGCTGAGCGTTGAGGCCGCCAAGGGTGGAAAGGAGGAGACTCTGGACGCCGACGTTGTTTTGGTTGCCATCGGCCGCAGACCCTACACCGAAGGACTGGGTTTGGAGAACATTGGAATTGACAAGGATGAGAGAGGCCGCCTTGTGATCGACCAGGAGTACCGCACCAAGCTTCCCCACATCCGTGTCATCGGCGACTGCACCTTCGGTCCCATGCTTGCCCACAAGGCCGAGGAAGAGGCCGTTGCTGCCGTCGAATACATTAAGAAGGGTCATGGCCACGTCAACTACGCTGCCATCCCCAGCGTCATGTACACGCACCCCGAAGTCGCGTGGGTTGGCCAGAACGAGGCCGAGGTCAAGGCCGCTGGCATCAAGTACCGCGTCGGTACCTTCCCCTTCAGCGCCAACTCTCGTGCCAAGACCAACCTCGACACTGAGGGCCAGGTTAAGTTCATTGCCGATGCTGAGACCGATCGCATTCTCGGTGTCCACATCATGGGTCCCAACGCTGGTGAGATGATTGCCGAGGCCACTCTGGCCGTCGAATACGGTGCTTCTTGCGAGGATATTGCCCGGACATGTCACGCTCACCCTACCCTGGCCGAGGCCTTCAAGGAGGCTGCCATGGCCACCTACTCCAAGGCCATCCACTTCTAAACTCCCTGAAATCCTCTTGCTCCGCCGCCCTGTATTTTCTCCTCTAGCCTAGCCACGCTAGCGAACCACATGTAGCATTTCGCCTTATTATATTTCTTATGTTGGTTGTGTTGTCTACTAGAGAATTTATGACGAAAAGACCTCATTATAACTCCCATTGTCCATTGAGAATAGAGTCGAGTTTCATAAATGTTCCAGAACGGTCACGTGATAGCGCGTCTCCATATATGTCAGGGTAGCCCTTTTGATGTCTGAGATACCATTAGGAGCTTAAGCTTCAAGATGGTGTAAAAGTACCTTCAGACTTTACACCAGCTTTTATTTCTATATCGGCCGAACTCCTTCAGTGGACTCATTGCAATGAGTGTTCTATCGGCCCCTCTGCAGTGGCTCGTATCGTGACTCAACAGGAGGACTCTGATTTGCTACATTGAGAGCAACGTCCTCAGCCACCCAAACAGTCTCATATAAACCAAGTCGCGTAACCATTTACTCTCTTCCTAAGCTACATGAACTAGTCAGACAACCACAGTAAGTGAGACTCAACATTCAACTGATGGAGTCCCTTATTAATAAGACATATAGGTCACTGTATGATCGCCTACAATCCACCTCTGCAAAGATCAAATCACCGCTATACATTACTTGAAGAGAGCCTGTGGTTCATATTCAAGAACCACCCAAGGATAATTATGGCATCTCTCACGAAAACCAGGCAATCCCCCTCCAAACCCACACCAACGGCCCCCTCACAAGAATCCTTGTCCCTCAACCCCCAAACCAAGAAATTCCTCCACCGCATCTCCCTGCATCCAACCCTAACCCCTTACCGCCGCCGCGTCTACCGCACCCTCCTCTCCGTGCCCGCAGGCCGCTGGACCACTTACTCGGCTCTCGCGACGCATCTAGGCTCCAGCGCACGGGCTGTGGGGAACGCAATGCGCACGAACCCGTTTGCGCCGGAGGTGCCCTGTCATCGGGTGCTGGCGACAAACGGGACGTTGGGGGGTTATAAGGGGGAGTGGATCTTGGGTGGGAAGTATCAGGTTGAGAAGAGGCTGTTGTTGGAGGGGGAAGGAGTTGTGTTTGACGAGGGGGGAAGGGCGCAGGGGGAGTGCTTTCGGGGGTTTGTGGATCTGGGGAGTGGGAAGTAGGTCTGGTGAATGTTGTTTGAGGTTTGATGCTTATAGTAAGACAGCTGAGTTTATTGAATGCTCTGGATATGTACTGTGAATACTATGCCGCTGCTGAGTGAATAGATATTCGCCTCGTATCCTTGATCGGATGTCTGTTCAGCGCAGTCGACCATCACTCCTTCTCATGTTGACATTCCGGCTATACGTTCCGGCGCCAGGCATTTATTATATGGCTCCTATCTTTAGATGCGATGAATATGACCGAGTATTCATGCATTGATCAGCGATCGAGTATCACCAGGGAGCAACAAAATTGACAAAATCGAAAGAGGAGATGGAGATGAGTGAGTGATGGACATGCTGAATACAATACAGAAAGTTTGTTCCTCCCTTTTCTCCCACAGTCAACTTGACGAAGCCCCTCTAACTAATGAAGGAAGACAGGCAGGAGTCCCAGCTGCTCGCTCAGAATGTGTGATCAATGCCGCATCTCGAGCCACGAGGAGAGGATGACATAGAGTCCGTGTCCTACTTTGCAGAAGGGGTACCGGATGGCAGACTGGTATACCAACCCCAATGGAACAAACCAGGGAAATTACCCCTTTCTCCCAGAATGGGCTGGTAAACGAGTTCCGGCATCGAAAACCGCGATTGACAAAACCACTGCACTGATTGCTAAAGCTGATACTTTGAGGAAAGCCGCCGATCTTGCGGGATAAAGTCCTCATTCATAAAGAGAAGGCCATTATCTGGACGATGTTCCCTGCAGAACATGTGTGTATGCTGCGGCTTACTTTCACATGGTGGTGAAGTTGAGATTGTCACGTTCGTCAAGCCAGATACCATGCTAATTGACGAGCAGATCAAGGCGCTTGGGGACGTGAGCCACTTCCGTTCCTGGGAGAGCTGAAGGGCAAAGAAAACAAAGGATACTCGCTATAAAGGACAGTACTCGCCTACATTGTTGAATTGGACCCTGCCAGCAATTTCTATTTTCTCCTCAACGCCCGCGAAATGTCGGAGGTTCTTTCTCAGCAGCAAGGACGAGAGAATTGCCTATATCAGGGAAAATTTCCCCCTGGATGAGGCCCAGGAACAAGCATTCTTAAAGTCAACCTTTAAGATCGCCTATAGGCAAAACAAGAATAGCCATGGTAATCACCCTCTTATGGCATTGGATCTAAAGGTCCTCCTTGTTGCTGGCTCAAACAAAGGCGTCAATAATCTCACAGAGGTGTTGTTGCGGCTCTGGACAAACACCCACGACTTCAGCAGTGGTGTGGCCAATTTGTCGTTCAAGCCTTTAAAGAAGAAATAGGCCGAATTAAAAACCTATTCTGGATTGGCAGGTACGATGATACGATGGCATTGTTGAAGTTATTGATGACCCTGCGTTCACTATCCATGATGAGGCGAATTTCATTCCGACAGGGGCAAATATCACCTACGAGATTAAGACCTATGGCCTTGCAGCTCCATACTTGGAGTCTGATATTGCTGTTGCTGTGTTCTGCGGGGACATGCCCCTACTATCTCTCTATGATCAGCTCATCATCATCGAGAAGGTTGCTGTTACTTCGCTCTCACGAGATTTTATACAAGATCTTGTGAGATCTTTAGAAGTCTACCATAATGGACCACCATTCTGGAGCTCAATTGACCTCCTGGGCTTGTTTCTATCGACTCTAGGTCGGCACCGGCTGGTAGTCGGAGTAGCTCCCTCTGATGCAACCGTGCATGTCTTGCAATCAATGTCGACCTCAGCCGAGCCAGCACGGAGGCCCGAACAGATGGCTAATGCTCAACTTGATCACTGTGCCTTCGTGAGTATCCCTGTATCTCCTTGACTTCTCCTTTGTTATGCTCAGTCCATCCTGTATGTGCTAACCTGCAGTGTAGGAATGGCACCTACTCATCATTGTGCCTTGCGTGGTGCTAAAAGGCAATGTTTCACTCCGACATCTGCGGCTGATGCTACGCCACGGAGACCAAATTCGAGTTATTGCGTCTTATCAGTGCCTCATCTGCATACTTCGATCCAGACCACACAACTGCTCGATGAAGAGAGTGGTCTCCGATGAATTGCTCCGCTGGCACTTCCGCCAGTCTGTGCTAGCAAACATGAAGGGGGCAAAGGACCGGTTGATCAATGTTCGAATCACCCTCAATGAAACTGACGAATGGATCAGTGGCTATTGGTGGCCTACGCCACAAATGATCAGATCTGGACGGAATTTGATCAAATATCTGATGGCGGTTGGATGCTGCGATGCTCAAACAGACTAAAATACAGGAAGGGAACCAATATCCAGAAGTAATCAATTAAGGTCAAAGGGCCCGGCGCCACTTCCAGTGCCGCTTCTGGTATCATTTCACCAATTACAACCATACAGTTGATTTCACTCTATCTGACCCCTAGCCATCTCACTATTTTCATTGGGATACAGAGCTGTTCGCCTGTTCAAAAATGTCTGAGCGTACATTCAACACCTTCGCGTGGTCGTTTTTGGAGGCAGGGTGTTGGGCTGGCGAAACCATTTTCGAGCACGACTTACTCGTTAATTCAAAACGAACCCCTGCATCTCTACCTTGAGTTTATTAGACTGGCAGCTAAGAAAGGTACGCATACTCTTCTTTTCCTTCTTCATGGCAGCTGTGGCTAACAGCTCTAGTTGCATTCCAACATAAACTGGCCGCCGTGGACACGTGTTAAAGTCGATGGATAACGTCGTGGAACCTATTGGGCGGGTGATACCACCGGCGAACCAAAGGAGCGAACCGACAACTGACAAGCCAGCCCGGGGCATCGCATTTTCCTCGGAATGCAGCAGAAAGAACCCTAGGAAGAGCTCAATCTGCCGCATTGTCCGCCATAAATTGGCATGCAAAGTTTCGACCCGACGAACTGATCCTTGAAAAGTTCATCTGCTTCCAGGGGAGATACTTGACGATGCGGATATTAACTTAAATAATGGCGTTGTCCGAGGCATACTCCTGACTGTCGGCTACTTCACCGACAGCTGAGTACCAGAGCAACAACCCTGAAAGATCAATAGCTGCTGGGTATGGTTCGTGAGAACCATATCCGACGCAGGGGGTGCTATTAAAGACAAAGCAACGCTGGTAGTGTTTCGCAAACTTTTTCAAGAGAACAGAACTGTACCATTGCCTGTTTGCAGTGGCTTGGTAAAGATTACTTGACCAAGCTCGCAAAACGTCGCCAAAGCAACAATGAGGCTTTGGCTGAACTACAACGCCGTCTTAATAAGGCACAGACTTAAGCACCCGAGCACCATGACCTCTCACAACTGGGTCTCGTCTTCGGCGCCCTCACTCGAGGGACTAAATAGGTCGTGAGCATGTTATGCAGCTCAGAGGAGGTGAAGTCCTCGATTAGACTCGTCAACCAACCGGATAACTATGTGCAGGGCTTGGAGACACTCAAATATTCAAGGTCCTACAGGGCTTTGGCAAGGAGCAAAGCCATTTATACAGTGACTATTTCCCACAACTCCGAGCTCTTCACGCCAAAATGCCGACCACTAGGCCTACGAACATGCACACCGGGGGATTAACCCCGCGCGGCATGGACAACTTTACTCTGGTGTATGATGATTTCTACAACAACAAAATCGACGGGTATAACGCGGAGGAGCGCAAGCGGATGGGGTTCCGCGATCCCCTGCCGCGGTTCACGGTCGAGATCATCGGGATGTGGGATACGGTTGGGTTCCAGAAGGCGTGACTCGGGCGAGAAGCTGGAGCTGCGGAATACGGTGCCAGAAGCTAAAGACAAGTCTAGCTTTTCTGGCCTTAGTGAAGCCATTCTCTGAAATCGAGAAGCTTGAAAGGCTCTCGAGCGAACCAGCCGAGACGGCTTATTCCTTATATGGCAGGAGATGAGAGGATCAAATATGATCCCAATGGGAACCATAACACTTTCCTGCAAAAGTGGCAGGCAGCCATCACCAAGATCCAAACGCTGGGCGAGCTGCCGGACACGAGACACCGCAGCTCAATCCCTGTCGATATGTTACACACAAAAAGGCACAGCTAATAAACCGTATGGCAGCATGAACATATCATAGATTTGATCTGTTCCTCCGCGAGCAGATTCAAGTTATGGTTATGTCTTGCTAGGGTGACATTAATCGTTTTCAATGAGTGGCTCCCTTTTCGCTGTTTCTCAATTGACGGGCTTGTCCTCCTGTTGGACGGAACAATTCGACCCGAGGAGTCCATATTTGCAGTGTCAATTATTGAAGGATACATGCGATTGTGTTTCAGTAATATGATCAAGTGCATCGATCTATAAATCCAGAATATGAACACCACAAGAGATATGTATAAATGAAGCAGAGAGTACAACAAGCCAAAGTCAATGAAAGGCAGCCATTCGCCGTCCAGTCTATCATGAATCGACAAACGCAGAGAAAATAAATCATCACACATGGTAGGTAGCCTTGGCACATCGGCCCCACCTGTTCTGTCATCCAGGGCAGGAAACAAACACACAGTGGCTATAATAAAACGACACATGCCTTTACCTTGTCTCCGAACGCCTCTATACCTCGTGTTCGTTGCATCGCCAAACCAAACAAATGTAAAATATGAGAATAACATCGAAAGGAAAAACAAAAGTGGCAAACTCTAAAGAAAGCACAAGCCAAAACGGTGCTGGAAAGCGAGAAACGGGAATGGAGAATCTGTAGAATTGTACATGTGTAAAACCGGCGTCAATCATGAAGATGAACATAAACATAGACACAGAGAAGAAAGAGGTCAGGCAGACGCCTTCGGGACCCGCTTCGTCATCCGGCGCTTAGGCAGATCCATGTGATGGGATGAACGAAGATGCTCAATGAGATGGTCTCGCCGCGGGAAGCCATTGCGAGCCTTCCGCGGGCAGTGCTCCACGGGGCAATCCTGGTAGACCGGGTAGTGGACGCTGGTCTGGTGCCGCTTGAGATCAGCGGAGCGGGTGAAGGCCTTTCCACAGGTTTCGCACGCATAGGCTTTGGATGATCTGGAGGTTCAGAGTTAGCTAGGTGCTGGATCCAGCCAAGGGAGCGTACCAAAAACGGGGAGCTTACTTGGAGGACTCGGACGAGGAAGCGCTGGTGCCGAGCGAGTATTGTGTAAGCAACGATTCTTCGAGGCTCGGAGTGAATGCAAACTGGGTATCGTAGGAGGAGGAGTAAGATGGGATAGGGACGCTGTAGGATGTGTTCAGAGCGTAGAGGTCTGGGACGCTGGTGGTGTTATAGGGACTTGGTGGCATGAACTCGTAGACCGAGTCGAAAGGATGACTGAGAGGGATTTCGAGCTCGTTTCCGTCTGAGGGGAAGACGTCTGCAAAGCTGAAGGACTGAACAGAGTGTGGGCTTGGGGACTGCTCCATTGGAGTGGATGGAGGATAAGTTGAGTTCTGGGAGTACAACAAGTTAGTTTGAACCGTTGTAGTAGAAGAGTTCTGTTTATACTTACCACTGTGAACCGAGGGTAGAGTCTGTCGTTCATTTGAGAGTACATGATAATTGAAGTGTCTAGGTGCAGACGAAGAAGAAACAAAAGAAAAGGCCCTGGAAGTTCTTATAATGATAATTAAGACGGCAAGAAGCAGAACGCGACAGCCATGAAATCAACTGGTCGCACGTGCATCAAGTTCTGGATTTCTCCCAATGGATAGCGTAGCTGACATCGCGGCTGGCTATACATCGAGTATTTAAGTGAGACTTTAAATGAGTTCAAACCAGTCATGGGCGACGTCACCTGAACGAGGAATCAAGGTACCTGATTTGACCCAATGGATGGCGTGGATAAGCGAAAACAAGAGGAGAGACGGCCTGAGAGTCGATTTCCAATAATGATCCAACCCGACCAACTTATTTGGCTAATCTGCTAGTGTTCTCATCACGACACTCAGCCACTATCGAGCCGTTCGAGCGGGACCGTGATTGGAGGGGCTGCTGCGGGAGAGTGAAGCGGTCGATCATCACCAGGCAAGAACCCTGCTTAGCGTTGGCGCCAGAAGACTCGGGGAACAATGGAAACTTCTTTGGCCCTTCTAGCGTCAAACGAGGGGGCTTCTTGGGATTTCCCCTGCGGTGGGATTGACAGTTGTGATTGGGGGACGGTGGACGGGGATGAATAGCCCACACCATTCGACTGCAGTCGGGGACACGATGAGGACGGTGATCATATAATGCCAACATCATCTTCTACTGACTAGATAGACGGTATGCACTCATTCACTCGCCCTTCTCCACATGAATGCGCTGTGGAGCCTCTGCTGACTTCCTGTTTGGCTGTGAGGCTTTGGAGATAGACCGGTACTCCGTAGTTCGTACAATCTGTCCATTCTCAGAAGCTGATTGCCTTGGTTACTGCGTAGGTTTGACATGCGGATCATCTGCGATGAAGGCATCGACATTGGGTGATTTTGATTCGCTGGGACGTTCACCGGGAAGGCACTGATACGAAGGTAGTCAGCTCTTAGACAAAAGTATATCAGAGCAAGCTTAGAAAAAGGGCGACAAATGGTAAAATGCCCGCAAAGACAGCCTCAGAGGAAGTACCCGGTGAACGAGACTCCGGACGAGAGAGAGATGGCAAAAGTACGACTTGTCGAGTCATGTGTTCCCGAGCGGACCCTCAGGCAACAATCTTGTCATTTAGTCTACTCATTAATTATTATTATTCTCTGCTACAATGAGATCACAATCACTGAATCAATTCAGTTCACTCGGCAGTCGGCACGTTGTCCGGGGAGAAACAATAATCTCAATTATCATTCTGCTCTACATAGAGAGGTACTGGACTACTATCTAGTGAACAGTTGGTCCTACTCCACAGCCCACACGCAGTAAATCAGCGATTCGACAGCCTTGTGGGCTTGTTGTTCCCATCCAAGTCCACTATGCAAGGAATCATCACTCCATTTGTCCAATGATAAACAGTCGCACTCCGCCAAGAAAGCCGGTTGCAATTGATCGCTTGGCCTTGGACTCAGGGCTGGGACTTTTTCGAGACTGAACTTTGAAGAAGCCAAAGGGACATGTCACATCACAAGCGCACAGCCCCCGGCTACTTTAGCGTCTGACTTAGCCCATTGAGGACTAGGCGATTGGCAAGGCTCCCAGGCGTACATCTGATGCATCGAGCTGCTCCTCAATGATCATGATGATGCAGGTTCAAAAATCCCGCAGTAGGATGCAGCTACGGCCGTTCTGCACGGGAGAAAACGAGGAGTCGTCCAGTGAGGCGGATAGTGACTGGTGCCAGCTAGTTGTCTTTTTCGACAACCGGGCAAAGAGGCACTAAATTTTTGTCTACTTCTCGCTCCTGTGACGCAGGGAACGTTTATCTCGATTAGAGGAGTTATGATACACAACAGCGAGTAAGCTTCAGCCATGTCCTGCCAGGTGTCATCTGCTTGCTTCACAGCCCAGAGGAGCTATTGATTCATCTTAAGCTCTGACGGAGGGGCAAACCTTCTTCGGTGAATCTAGCCTTGGAGCTTTCTTCTCCTCGGCAACCTTTATTGTGTTGTTTCGTACTTTGGTGGATCAGCCAACCTAGGAACGGAAAGTAGCATAAGCAGAACTCCCATGTTCCACTGTCCCATTCATTTACTCATTCACAGATGACACCATAGAAGAACTATGATGACGAAAAGAAACAGACAACGAGGGGGAAAACAGCGGCAGGAAATAAATGAAGTAAACATCACATATTCCCGCCATCACCAGTCGAAACCCAACCAGCCTAATGCGGACATTCAAGACCACAAGTATCAAAGATGATGATGGAGATGAAGATGAACCTGTCAAAATATCCCTATTCGCCACCTGTCCAGCAGAAAAAGGAAAGCCCGCCCCATATGCACCCAAGATACACTTCTTATAATTCATCCTCCAAATACTTGTAGATAAATTTGAAATCCGCCTTGCGCCGGTTCATCCTGCGTCTCGATTAGTTTGTTGCATGGAAAAGAAAAGGAAAAGGAGAAAGGCTTACCAGGTACTCTCGTAATCGAAGAACCGATATGTACCCTGTTCATAGTCTTCGGTGATGTTTTTCGGCTCCTCATGGCGTTGGAACCAAGTCTGGTACTGTTTATGGAAGCGCCAGCTCTGGTTCTTGAGCGCCTTAGCCGCCAGGTACTGCTGGTAGCTTCCCTGACGGTAGTAAAACAAGTAGAAAAGCGTATCGGTATCGATCCGTCCGGTGTCATACAGACGAGGATCATCGAATATGGCGAGTGGTTCTTGCGGGTAGTAGAGAGGGGTGTTGTAAGGATTCGAGGGACGGTAATGACGGGGCTTCTCTGCATCGGCAGGCTCCGGGCAAGTCGCCAGTGATGCTGCGAGCAGCCGCTGAACCGATGGTGACGAGCTTGTAGCACTATTCGCCGCGCGGCTCTTGGTGATCTCAAACGACTGGATCAAATCCTGCAGCCCTGGAGGCAGATGGTAGATCGACTCGTCGCGCTGCTCGTCATCCTTGCCTGTCTCGCCGTTGGCTGTCGCAGGTTGTTCCTTGGCGGCTGCGGCGTTTGCCTTATCCATCGCTGGGGTAGAAGGCATCGTATTCGAAGCACTGGCCGCTGCGGGCGTCCCTGCGGCGCTAGGGCTGAGAGCTGGAGTCTTGGACCGACCGTGTCCACCAGGCTCTTCGGTGACGGTCGCTGTCGCTTTCGATACTGGTTGGACCGAGGACACAACTGGCGATGCAGTGGATGAC